GCTCTAACTGATCTCAGTGGGATTCATGCTTAATGTTAATTACCTGCCTAAGCCCTTTGCTGCATCCCAGCCTATAGAGGCAGTCGGTAGAAGGATGCAAATAATTCTCTGGCAAATGCAAAGCTTTGAAAATTCCATTTGGAATTTTTCAGACTGTTCCAAATTTTGTGACAAACTGGAAAACCATGGACTGTCATTCGGAAGGAACATCATTTTCCATCCAGAACAATGGTTTTTACTTCTGAGGATAATTTGCAGACTATTTAAATTTTCCTTTGGACAGATATCCATTTGCATAAAAGTCACATACCTATCTAAATAGGTACATGTTTAATATGAGAAAGTGGTCATCTCGTGGAAAGTAAAACATTCTCACAGGCGACCAGGCCTGAAACAGAATTAGGAAAACCATTCATTTTTACACTGCAGTCCTCAAAGGTATTTTTGGTAACTCAAGTTCAGCTTTAAATATCTTCTACAGCAGCAGCCTAGGAAGCAGCTTGCAATTATAGCAATAGCAGAACTCCAAATAGGATGGGGAAGGCTGAGTTTGTTAAAATAAAGTATTTGGTTTAATATGTAATGGGTAGGGAAAAGGAGCTTGTCTAGGTGAATGTAGACCTCATGTCCTTAGGGCTATGATCATGCCACATTTCATGAGATAACAATGTATGGCTGTGAGTGAACCCTAGCTGAGCACATCCTTGAGCTGCACTGTCTGTCACACGGGGTTTTTGAAACCCCAGTCAAAACTGTGGAAAGGCTTGGGTCGCATTAGTTTCTTTGGGTGATGTAACGTGCAGTTCGGGGAAAGGATGCTTGTTAGCCCCCAGCAGTGCTCATTGCTTGGGACAGGATTCAGAACAATATGGGAAAGAGATCTGAGCCCTGGAGCAGCTCCCGTATTGATGCAGATATAATTCGAAGAGCAAATACACTATTGGTGTCCTCTTCCAATAGTGGAAAGGCAATAGACTCAAAGCATCTTTATCTGCAGAACACGAGCACATTGTTTTTAAGCTTAGCTTGGGTGGAAGAGGCAGATGTAGTTGCAAGAATGAGTTTTTTCTCAGGCTTGAGTTCTATACCTCGATACTACAACCCCCCTGTACCATTCTGCTGGGTACAAAGAACAACATGTATTAGTGTTGCAATCTGGCGTATATTGGGGCAAGGTCTTCCTAATCTTACAAACTAGTCCTACAACTATTATTATTACCTGTCATAAGGATATTCTCTGGCTTTTTTCATCTGTGGATCTCACAAATTCAGCCTTGGAATAGGTGTGTGATGTATTATGTAGATGGGGAGATTAAGTACTTTGCCTTAGTTCACATAGAGAGTTACTGAATAGAACCATGGTGTCCTAGTACTTCAAACTACCCATTAGACTCTTTCCTAAACTCTGATCGCTCTACATTAGTTAATCCTGTTTTTACCAAAAATGCAATATGTTCCAGGGCAAACAGAGATCATAGAAGGCATATGCCCACTCCAGTACCACAATGGCCTGAAAGCATGGTATGGGAGTTTATCAAGAACAGAATAGTGAGCAGAAACATCTTAGGACTCCCAAGAATGACTGAGCTTTGGTCTTTGCTAAGTAGTGCTGAGCTTTGGTCATGTGCTAGGTCATGCCTAGCACATGACCGTAACAAGCATCATGCCTGTAATCTAGGGCATCTGTAGAGGGGAAAAGTTTTTGATACCAACTGTGGGCTAATTCCATCCTCACCTTTCACCCAGTGCCTGAGAGATTATTTACAGGGGAAACAAAACCGCAGGAGCTAATTTCTGCTCACAAACATAACTGGAAAAAAAAATCATTCAAAAAAAAGAACTATTTAAAATTTCCATTTTTCATTTTATTGTCAAAGTAAATATATTTTATGAAGAACAAAAGAAAATATACAGAATTGTAACTTATGTACATGGGCTTTATAGATATTTTTCCAATTTACACAAATTTTGATATGTTATTAAAAGATATTTTATACAGATATGCATTTATGTACAGTTTTATTTACATACATTCATAGGATGTGAGATAAACCAGTCAATAGAAGATAGTTCTTTTATATTAATTTCTAGAGGACAAAAGGAATGCATTCCTAAAATAAGGTTGTTTTAGCTCTATCTAGATACTTACATACAGTATGCTTTCCATTACTACCTACTAATGCAAGAATTGCAGTGTTTTATTTCCCATTTTGCTGACAAAAGAGACAAAGGGATGCCATCTGTGAATGGAAAGGAAACGCAATATCCTTTCTAAAATCATATCTAATTACTGAGCTTGAAAGTGTCTTGCAATTGGCAGAGTTCAAAAGGAAAAGCAAAACAAAAAGAAAAAAGAGAAATACAAACATAATCGCTTTGCTGCTACTCTCTGATTATCCTTTAAAATTCCCTTCTTAGCCATTTAGCCAGCTACCATGTGTATTTGTTTCTCCTGGCCACCGTTCCCACCCAATCACCTGCCCCAGCTGCAGGGAGCTCTGACAGGGCTGTTAATAATAAAAGAGCTGCACTTAACACTTACATATCACCCTTTGGCTGAGGAGCTCAAAGTGCTTTTACAAACAGTAATCAAGCCCACAACTTCCCCTGGGTGGGATATAAGTATTATTACTCCTACCATACAGATGTGAAAACCAAGGCAAAAAGAGATTCATAGCTCAAAGTTGCTGGGTTGAGCACATTTCTTTCTCATTGAAGTCTCCAGGCCCTCAAGAGGTCCACAGCTTTCCAAGAGATTGACCAACATCTTGCAGGACTGAGGTCACACAGCAAGAAAGAGGCAAAGTCTGGAATAAAACCTATGAGGCCTAGTACCCAGTTTCTCCTTCTCTAAGCACCAAGCAACATTCCCTCTGTTAATGAAAAGGATAGCTTTAACTAGAACCAAGGTTATGCTTTGCTTATTTAAACACATAGCCATACTCTATACTTGGCAGTACATTGACCATATAACATGAAAAGCACATGTGCCGTATAAAATTATGGGCCTTCATTCCAGAACCAGGTCTGAGCTTTATTGTTCGGTTGGGAGTGGGGGTTCATCCAAAAAGTGCCATCAGATCCAGGATCCCAAGAGCTGTTGATTGAGTCCTGATGGATCGTTGAAGGACGGTGGGCCGAAGAAATCAGGGTGACTGGACCAGGCTCACAAATTCCAATCTCCTCCCCCTCCCCTTAAAAACATTCTTGGCTCAGGCAAGCAAGAAAACAAAGGAGGGTTTTTTTCAAAAAGAATTTGCTGTTTCCAAACTGGACAGATAGGCCAGCTTAATGAAAACTCACAAAGAGTAGCCCTGTCCACGAGCAGAGGCCTCAGGAATGCCAGGACTATAATTAACCAGCAGCAAGTAGCCCATAAATTTTCCTTGTGCAGTAGAAAACAGCTAAAAATAAAACACTGTAATTTCCAAAGGAAGAAGCAGCAAAGAAGGGCATGAGAGAAGGAAAAATAAAAATAATAATAATAGTAAAAAAAAAC